ACTGAGGAGAAAGGCGGCACGTAATTGTGTGACTGTATCAGAACTGCAGTACATATCTTGCAACTCATCGTTACTTATAAGAGTGGAAAAGTTTTGGGCCGTTTGATTTACTTTATAGGTGTAATCCATACTCATGGTAGTGTCTGTGTATCCGGTGTTGAAATCTTGCACTGCAAAGTCCACCGGTACAATGGACACAAGACCGATACTTTTTGTGAACAATACCGGAGTCGCTGAACATATGGCACCGCCGAGTATACCGTCCTCGCTGCCTCTCACCAGATCGATCTTATCTTGCTCGACCTCAGACGCGGTGTTAACCACGAGTACATTATGCCGATTGTATATAATTGCTTCCCAACCGCACAATATAAAATGATAAGAAACTAGTCTCGACTCTATATCATTGTGATAAAATATCGGATCGATTTTCACTGGTATAAACCATTTAAATGAGTTGGCTAGTGTGGTGCCGACTAAAGGTAATAGGCCGAGTGCAAAATGAATTTGTATAGAAATATCAGCGCAATGGGCTGCCATTAAAAGGACTATTCCTTCTTCACACGTTTGCATATCAACGAACCATGTGCAACTTTTTCTTTGGAATGCCTGCTCAACGATATCAGTGATGTCTTCGTCAAATTCCATTTTCTCCTGTTCATTATGAGAAAAGAACCAATATTGCAAAGAAGATCCGGCAAGAATGAGAACTCTTGATCCTCTCTCGTTCAGTAATGTGCACGTAACTTTTACCAATTTCGTTTCTGTAATAGGCGACTGTGGTATCGCTCCAAAAATGAGGGAGGTCATTTTGCGACCTATACCACCAAGCCATCCTTGACTTGTTCGAAGCACTTGGCATGTAATATTGTTCTTTCCATTGTTGAATTGCGGCTGTAAGAGCGCCACTGTACATGTGGTAGTGGCTAGAATACACCCATGGCCTGGAACATGTATAAGACAATCGACTTCTTGTCCTGCAAGCTCAGCACTTGTCTCTACAGAAGATCCTTCATGTGCCACACTTGCCCAGAAACGTACCACTCCTTCTGGTGAGACTGCCATGCAACTAGGAACCTATGAACAAACGTAAATTTCATATACATATGTATAAAAGAATTGAGAAGTAATGCTTTACGATTTTCAAGATATACGTTATAAAAAATAAATAAACAGCAAACTTTATTTTTATTCAATGTAATATTCAGATTAAATTTATTATTGCTTTTAAATAATTAACTTTCGTTATTTTTTATTTTCATTAATTATTATTTTCATTTTTATACTTTTTCTCGATTCAGCAATGCTAAGTATTTTTATCTAAAAGATTTTTCTATTTAAATTAAATTTTTTCATTTTTGCTATTATCTCTTTGTGGTAACACTTGAATTGAGATAACTCAATTTCGTAATATAACATTTTGAAGAATTAAATAACTACTATTACTACTACTACTACTATTATTACTATTACTACTTTGATTAGAAGAGAAAATATCTTTGAATGGATTATAATGTAATAATTTCTTTTAAAGAAAATTAAAGCTACTTGGAATGGAAAGAAAGATCCTTCAAGAATACAAAGGTATTTAGATTTCATTGTATAAAAATTAAAGATATCACGGATTATATATTCTTTATTTAATTTACTGTGGATTTAACTTGGCGATTAACTTTAAGTTGTTGCTATCAAATCTTTTATATAAATGATAGCGTCTTTCTTTTATCACAATAACAGTTTCGAATTCAGCTGTTATTTTTATCGTTACTTTAATTCCTTATTACTATGTAACTATTAAATAAATTGCATTATTTTTATATAATTGACTAGAAATACTTTATAATAAAAATTTTTGCTTAAAAATATTTTATAATAGAAATTTAAATATTGAAAAATGTTTTGTATTTTAGGTTGCATTGCCATAGTCATTGCCAATATTGAAAATCTAGTACATATTAGTACATATGTGCAATGTAAATTCAAGAGGATAACCGCTCAGAAAATAGGTGTACACCTGGGCTTTGGGACTTCAAGACTTCATCGGACTTTACTGGATTTCACGGACTGTCACGAACTTCACCGGGATTTTCCATACTTCGATGGACTTTGCTGAATTTTATTGAACTTCCAGGAATTCATGCTTTACTTCATCGGACTTCGACGGACTTTGCCAGACTTCATTGAACTTCGAACAAATTAACGGACTTCTAACAAGTTGTACACCAGAATTTAAGAGTGGTTACCCTCTCGCATAAACTATAAAGTTTTAGTATTTGCAGTGAATATTTAGAATTCGCTGTTAATAACGTCATTAATGTTTAAAAACAATGTTTAATAAAGATTTTTTTTTACTCTATGTTCCTAAATTACAATCTGAATTCTTAAAGCATATCTTAAAAAATACAAATATTAATATAAAGAATTATAAAAGATTTATTAAGTTTAAGATGATGCTAGAGGTACCAATGGAACACAACATTTTTTTGTATTTTTTATTATTATGTCTGATATGCAATATATACAGGATTTAAAAAAGTTAAAACCTTTAAAAAAAAAAACATAATTGACATAAAAAAATAACATAATTGGTATATAGTAATTATATATTGGTATAATTAAATATTAACATAAAAAATTGACATAATTGGTATAATATACTGAAACAATCTACTATCTATGTTGATAATGCATGAATACATTATAAATAAAATTAGAATAGTTTGATCTTTCATTACCTGATGACCAGGCAGCACCCAGACTGCTATACAGTCTGCTTTATGAGCTAGATCGCTTTGAGGCAGCAACAATTCACGACATTGGCTTTTAAAGGCTCTTCTCTGTTTGGAATCATGAATATTAGCTTTACATTGCCATACAAGTAATTTACGGCCATAAACAAGCCAGGCCCAACCATCCTCAGATATATTAACACTAACAGCTGTATTCCGATCTACAAATGTCAGTGCCTCTGTAACTAATACTGGCAATGGAGAACCAAAATTTTCCACTACATGATTTTGTGTCCTGCATATTACTTGTATAGATTGATTTGTACGTCCAGCTACACTAGTTGTGCTAAAGATGAAATAAAACACTATTGTATAAATGTGACATAAAGAAGCTTCCTTAAGTGCATGATTGTAATATCATATGCAAAGAAACTTACGAGCTATTTTTCTTTAGCGATTGAATGATCGACAATCGTTTTCTAGGAGAGGCTACTGTTTTTCCCAACGGACTTGTCATATTCGTACGATCCATTTTCTTAAATCAAATTTTCTTAAATCAATATTTCTATTTCAAGCTATAACTTAATCCTTTATTAAATATACGATAGAATCTTATGCTTTTATAAAACATGCAAATTTCTCTCACTATATTCGATTTAAACTAATTTACATTACTTATTTCATAGTTTTGAAACATGTGGTCTGTTTTCTATCCCTGCATTCTTGAACTCTGTTTCTTGCTTTAAACAAATATATTCAAACGTATATTTATCTCACTTTAAGTTCCAAAAGTGTACACTAGTTCAGCCACAAAAAACAAATCTTAAATTAAGTGACATAAATTAAGCCGGCAACACACACGGCTTGTTTTCCTGCTGGATTTAAAATCTTGTCACTGTATTGGCTGCCTGGAGAAGGTATATAACTTCCACCATGTTAGGCTGCGATGACAGCCATGATGTAAAGCCCGATGTCCACGATGCTAAAAATCGGTCTGAGATTTCGGACAAAGAAAAAATTAACAAATCACATTTAAATATGAATAATATGATAATATCATATGTGTCATGTCTCAGGGTCCGGCCAATTCACGATTTAACCTGAGACTATAGGTGAGATACAGAACTCGCGATTTCGCGCGCTGGAGGAGAAAGCGGCCGAGAATGTCCTCTACTGATTGGTTAGACGCGGACGTTGAATATGACGATTATAGTGGATTTAGACTCGTTCCACGGTTGCTCTTCTGTCGCTCCCAGGAATAGAGAAATACGAGAAATCTTTCTAATACTCTGGGGCACTCGGAACAGATTGTAACCGCGCGAAGCGTAATATCAAGCATGCGTTACAGGTCTTGAGCCGTTCGGAGTAGCCAAAGGATGTAATGACGCAGAATCTCGTAATAATTCTTCTTTTCGAAAGGCGATAACGCGGTGTAACGTTTGATGCATTTAATTATTCCGCTCTCTTTATGTTGATGGAACAAGGCGGACGCACAATGGCCGCGATATACGGATCAGAGGATAAAAATCGAGCATCGATAAAAGTGCGCGAAGGATAGGACACATGCTCTATGATTTATTTATGGCGAGTTTTGATTAGCGAGGTGTAGAGATTTCATTACCTTGAGATACCTCGGATGGATACTCTGCGATGTTCCCAAATACAGAGATGTGCGTCTAGGTTTCTATTGCTCCTTGGAAGGATTTGGCTGCCGATTCAAGTCACACTAAAGGATGTGCGCGCGTCACCTTTTGTTAATATTCGATAACGGTCATATTATTATTAGCGTTAGAATGAATTAATTAAGAGTATGGAGATGTCCATGGAATACACGTTCTAATAAGATTAATTAAATGTATATTTAATAATGATTCTCTTACACTAATTAAACTTTTAATAACTAATTTTACACTAGGACAGCTTTACTTCTCTAAGTTAACATAGAGATTATCTCTTATAATTAGGACTTATGATTTAAAAATTAGATTGACATTTTGAGTTAAGACGAGATTGAAATTCCTAAAAATTGAAATTGCGAGGATATCGCGTTTTACTTAGCATTATGTTTGCACACGGTATTTTTAGTAAATTAGAATGAAAGGAGACTCAATTTTCGCGCGTTCACCTTGTACGATGCGTGCTACTACTCTGCTCTTTCTTAGCTTTGCCCCGTGGACATTCCTAAAACCCCTTCCATAATCGTATTGCTAGTTCGCTCGTGGTGGATGAGATGTCAGGTGTAAATGGCTCGACGTGTTCGTGTCTTGTGCCGGTGATTCTATTAGAAATTATTCTTAGACAAAATTAAAGTTATTGCGGACATTTTAGCATCGTAGATACAAGGTCGAAGAATATCAGCCGGTATTTATTAGGTGCGCAACTAAGTTCCCGCTGTTTGTCAACAGATGGCTCCAGCAGTAAGTAAACAGTTTTATCGTGATGGTATACGAGCTCTGCCAGAAAGATGGGAAAAAATAGTAGCTAGCGATAGGCAATACTTTCAATGATTCATTTGTAACCATTTTTTCACAATAAAATTGCATTTTCATCAAAATAACAGCGAGAACTTAGTTGCGCACCTAATATATTGGATTATCTAAAAAGTATCCACGGTTTTTTGTCACTAGATGTGTGTTGATGGTCATATATCTAGTGACAAAGTACCGCGGATACTTTTTAGATGACCAAATAGTTAGATCTTACATTCGAGATTGTCTTAAGTACGGTCTTAAGAAGTCACAAGCCAATCAGAAGATAGAGCCGTATTAGCGTCTTAAGACATTGGCCGTGTTCCAAAATTTACTGCCAGTATTGAAAATTTATAGTTTACGTCATGTACACTAAAGATTTTCAGTACTGGCAATAAATTTTGGAACACAGCCATTATTTAAAACAGTCTTGAAACAAGAACGGACTATGAATATCACCAGGTGCATCATTCCCGAGGATACGCAGTAGGAGAGTAAACTATGGTCAAAATTTGATTGGTTATTTCAATACGACAGCGCTATTATACGCAGAAAAGTGCATTGAGGCCAAAATTTGATTAGCTGTTTTCAGTATTGCTGTCGCTATTATGCACAACGGCTGCGTTCAACGAACTCAACAGCTGAATGAGCTCTCGTTGTTATTGGTGTATTTTTTTGGATCATCCAATCAGCATTTTAAATCTGAAAGAATACATCAATAGCAGCGAGCGCTCACTTAACTGTTGTGTTCGTTGAACGCAGTTAATGATGCACCAAGATAGCGATCATATGACTTTTTTGCTAGAATGAAAACGTAAAAAGTGAAAATTTTTATGTATGTTCGTACATATGTACACATACGTACAAAGAATTTCCGCCCTAGGGAAAAAATTACGTGATCACTACTCAGGAAGATCAATTCTGTATCTTGAAATGAGATGAAAATTACAAAAGTGAGCGAATTTACTACAGTACTAATAATTTCATTGGTCAAATCTAGTAAATTTGCTCACTTTTGTAATTTTCATCTTGTTTGAAAATACAGAATCGATTCCAGGGTATAGGATACTTTTTAAGAATAGAAGCCCTGGGCTCAGTATATACAGTAACGCAATTCTTTGTCGGCATCTTTGATGTTAGTATTGGCCAAAATGGAGTACGTATGCGTGAAATAAATAGGTTATCTAATGCCACGGTTACAATCTAAACTTCTTTCTCTTTTCATCCTTTTTTCACTCTATCAAAATTCCTTGCAAAAACACTCACATTTATTCGCATCATAATCCAACAAATTGAAGTGAGTACGTGCTATTGTAGGAACATATTGAAGCATATTAGATATGCGACGCGAATAAACCTAATATTGCAATAAAATAATTTAAACTTATAAAAATTAATAAAAATAAAAAAATTAGGAAAAATATTAAATTAACTTAAAAATGTATATTAGTGTAAAGAAATATTATGTAATATATATATATGAAAATATTATGAGAAAGCTGATATAAAAGAAATTTATATACATATATGTCCAAAAAATAAGTTTAAAATACAATAAATAAAAAGAAATCTTTTTTGCTCAGTTTTCTATATTACTTTTGTTCACTTTTTTACTTTATCACTTTTTCACAAAAATTAAACCAATTTCTCGAGATTTTTCACACAACATTTCACCAAATGGACAATACACGTAATATTGGGTCATCTAAAAAGTATCCGCGGTTTTTTGTCACTAGATGATCCACACATCTAGTGACAAAAAACCGCGGATACTTTTTAGATGACCCAATACTTCCCTCTAAATTTCTACTCTGAACCATGTATGCTTAAAAGACAAATGTTTAAGTGGAACATTGAAATTATTAATGGAGAGAGAAAGCAATAAAAAAAGGAGGAAAAAAGACGGAGCAACTTATTTATTTCACGCATACGCATTCCATTTTGGTCAACATAAAATCAGGAATTACGCTACTGTATATTGGGTCATCTAAAAAGTATCCGCGGTTTTTTGTCACTAGATGTGTGTTGATGGTCATATATCTAGTGACAAAATACCGCGGATACTTTTTAGATGACCCAATATATACTGTATCCTATATTCTATAACTGTTTTACACTAGAGATACTATAACAGAGATTCGACAACGCGTTAACGATTTCTGATTGGCTCCCGTCGCTTGGGGTATAACCGGAAGTGAGAGAGAAAGATATATATAACTAAGAAAGAAAGCTTAGCCGACCTAACCTGTCACCTGTCGAAAGAAAACAGCGTGCCTACTGCCTAAATAATCAACATTGAACTAAACTGATTAAAAGTACATTAATCATATAACGAAAAAAAAAGAAAATAGCCTCGGTTGATCGATTATAAAGTGAAAATATATAAAAGTGTCAACACTTGTGCAATTTATAAGGTATGTGTATTTTATTTCAGACTATGTGATATCAGGGTTGGGAAAGTTACTTATAAGTTACTTTTTAGATTACCTTATAGGCGTTTGTTATAGAACTTAAGTACAAATAATAATAAAAATTTGTAGCAAATGATAAAATATAACATAAAAAACAAAATACTCGAACTTATTGTACTCAATTTCTATAAATATTTCTAAAAGTAACTTATAAGTAACTTGTAAAGTAACTTCCCAACCCTGTCAGTGATATATATAATGTACCGTATTTCCAATGTAGTCTCAAAAATAATTTTTTTTTTTTTTTCAAATAAAATAGGTGAATAAAAAATGCCTAATAGCTGCTGTGCCGGCTATTGTACTAATACAAATATAAAAGGATATCAGATGTGTCGATTTCCAAAAGATTCGGAAAGAAAAAGAATATGGATCCAGAATATGAATCGTACA